TAGATTCAAAACAGCCACGAATGTGAATGAAATTTAATTTACAACCGAATGAATATCATTCGATTCTGAACATATGGTCAGTTGCCAATCAGGACTTCTAAACAGTTTTCAAGTTAAGTATCTTTAAATATAGCAATGCCACGTAAGGGTACCGAATCAGTGAGCTATCTATTCAACAGCTGCAAGATCAAAGTTAAGAAAAGGTTGAGAACGTGTGATTTGATTTGTCTGAATTAAAAAAAAAAAAATAACCACATTTACAAGATGAAATTCAGACAAACCAAAACTCAGTGGACACGATTCAGTTTGTTTGATTTTTTTCTTCTTTTAATTCTGACTAATTGATTTTGATGAATCAAGTTTTTCACATGTCAACAAGTGTAATAATGACTGAATCCTACTAGGAGCAATTATTTTATTTATATTGTTATAATATAAATAAACACTAGACTCTAGAACTCAACTTGTAACCATTTAACTCCATTTATCAAAGTGTCGAGGCACAGTGGAACCATGTCAGTGAAACTGATGTCATTCGTTTTTTTCATGAGTCTGCCCTATGGTATATTGTGAACATTACAGGGTCCATTATTGAAGGTGGAATGAAAAAGGTATCGAAAGGAGAAAATGTATGAAAGTAATGTTGTTTTGCGTGTACTCTTTTAAAAACTATTTTACAGGTGATCCAGTGTTTCTTTCCATCTAGGATTGTCCAGGGCGTTGGGATGCCTCTCATGTGTCCTCTTTCAAAAGGACAATCCCTATTTTGAGTTTGTCTTTTCTAATGTCCCTGTTTTTCTCACTCTAAATATTTGTTGTGTGTTAGTGTCTAACGGGGCTTCTCAATAATAACAGCAATGTCTCTATCAGCTACAATGAGTGTTTATAAATAAATCTTTATAAATTAAATACAATATTATGATATACAGCAGTTCTAAATTACATTTTATACAAATGGTTATTACTTGTTTATGCAGTTATTTAAAATGTTCTGAGAAGGATAAAGATAATTTAGGCGCTCACTATAGTGATGGAGAGAATAGGGAGTGGGCAGCAGTAACCACACAAGAATTCCCTACCTTGTGACAAAACAATAGTGAACAAAGAAAAAAGAGGAAACCGCGCCCTTATTGTGATACGTAAATACGCACTCAAGTCCTTATGGCCATACACTTGCAATGATGTACCTCAAAAAGAAAAAAGAGATATACAAATAATAGTGTAGCACTGATAGTATTCCGTAAGTGAACAAAGAGTAGATAGATGTACACTCACATATGACAGAGCTAGAAACAGAGCTCTGCTGTTCATGCGCATGGACGGAACAATCCCCGTCTTAGGATAAATGTAAAGTGGTCCACGTCTTGAAGGTCTCAAATAAAGAACATACAGATAGACAAGGGAATCCACATAGTGTAGTATGTATTAAAATCACTTAAAATAAGGAATAAAATGTAAAGTATCGTACTCACATTTACTAGAGCGTGCCTCGCTCTAGTTTACAGCGTATAGGTGGTATAATCCCCACCAAGGAATAAAATGGTAACCAGGAAAAAAAAAAGTACATAATAATGGATGTCTCAGAGAGATAAAAATATATAAAATAGTAACTGTTTATTGTACATAGAAAGTAATAAAAACAAATGAGATACACTCAATGAGAAAGTCCATAAAAAAATCCACTTTACGCGTTTCACCTGTAGAGGCTTCTTCTTCCTTTTTTTTTCTTTGTTCACATTTAAAATGTTCTATTATAGTCCATTTATCTGGACCCACCTCAGGCCACAGCTCTTAAAGGAAAGTGTCTCTCTGTACCACTTGGGATATTGGGAGATATGAGAGAGTAATGAGGGAGCACAAGGTATTCGGGAATATGGTTTGTATTCATGCCCGCTGTAGCCCACTCCCCCACCCCCACCTTGCCGACCTTTGAAAAGGTATTTTGCCCACCTTTGTTCCAGTACCTCACCGGTTTAACCGTGGCTGGCTCCGCCTAGCATTAAAACAGCAATACCCCCACACTGTGCTATATAATTACCACACTAAAAGGGTGCATTAACTGGTATTGTCACAAATTATGTAATTGGAGGTATTCTAACTATAAAATAAAACAGGGGGCTTGGGGTTAGATGTAAATAGTACTTGTGGCTCCAGTCTAAGTGAAACCCCTTAGCAACAAAATAACCCTTACATGACTGATGATCTACTCTCCTTACATCAATATGTATACATTTTCATACATCCCTGATAATATACCTGTATCCATAAATTATGAATTAGCCCTGCATTCTCACAGCACTGACTTCATGATTCATATAAACATGGATCCAACACTATTCATAGAGAAGCAATGGATTGCCATGTGTTCTCAATACTTCTCTATAAAAAGCATCTGACTGGACAAAAGTCATCAGTCTTTATGACCTCAGTGGAGGAGGGCCAGACTGCAGTGATAAGTTGGCCTGGAGTGGGAATAAAGGTAAGTTTAATGGCTTAAAAAAACAATTTCAATAATAATATAACCATTAAGAACTGTACAAGCCACAATCACTGCGATCATGGTGCATGCTTGCCGTAACTGGAAGACTCACTCATGAGGGTGCCTCATCCCCTGCCACCCTCCATAGTTAAAGTGGTCTTATGTTGTTATCGACATCTGCAGCAGTGCATGCTGGGATCACCTGTCAAATGACTAAGACTGGTTATTCCACTAGTGCGTCTATGAGTCTCTTATGACGTCTGATTAAGCTATTCACAGTGACAACGTGCCTAAGCAGTCATCTAAGGCATTGCGATCCCTATGATTGTCTCTCACTGTGATCACACAGCCGGGGGCCAATCTAGGATGTATTGTTTTGGTTAGGGTAAGTTACCGTTGGTTAGGGTTAGTTTGGGTTAGAGTTAACATGGGTTAGCTAGGCTTAGTGCTAGGATTAGTTAGTGTGGTGACACGGATAATGACAAGTAGCATTTCTGGGAAGCAAGCGATGTCTAAATTATGGAACGGTACATATTTTATTATATATGTTTCCCAAAAACTTGGCAAAGGTATACGTGTGGGGCGTTACTGTTCTCTGGAGATGCAACAGAATCCAAATCTGGGGGCTTTGTAATAGTAGAACATACAAAGCCTGTGAAATCACCATTTAACTCTTATTTACTAACGTGAGAATTCAGAGTGAATTTCAGATTTAAAATCAAAATAGCTAAACTGGAAATAGTCTCAGTTATGCTTTCAGTTTGGCTACTCTGGCCTTCAATTTAATTTCTCTTACAATTCTCTGCTATGTATGCATGTGTTTGGTTGTGCTGGAATGGATGGGTGATAGGACTATAATAAAGAGTAGCTACCTAGGTGATGGTGAGGAAGGTGGGTTTGGGCTCATACAAAGTGCTAAGGACAGCCTGTGGTGTGTTTACATGTCCAGGCAATCCCTCAATTTCACACCTTATGACATTTTCCTTTGTGTTCTGGGACCAAAGCTGTGTATAACCTAACATTTATAAAAGTCAGGGTTCTTATGGGAAGAATTTCCTCAGGTGTGGTTAATATGAAACGAGAGGAAGGGACAATGGAGAAGTATATAGTGTAGCATTTTATATTTACTGGACTTTAGAAGAAGCGATGCACCCACAATTTCTGGGGTTATGATTTAGCCTTACTTCGGTGTGCCTCAGTGGTATAATCCCAGTTTAAGGAAGCGATGCATCTCTTGGTCCAGATGTTGTTATCTGTGAAATATAGACACAATAAACACCTGTATAGTGTAATATGTTGAGATGACGCAAACTGGGTAAATAAACAAGTAGAAATTCACTCGCAGTCAATAAAAAAAGCCCTTTTAATGGTTATTGTTATTGTTTATTTTTAACTTGATTTTATGTCTACATTCTGCCTTTAATACTTTAATAAAGAGGTTTATTTATTAATGGCCCCTGGACAATCCTGCTTCATTCTACCCACCTTTTGGACATCATATTCTGTTATGGGGAATGTACAACCTACGCGTTATGGATTGAGCAAAAAACATTTTTTGCTCTGGATCAGTAAGTGGATTTTCATTTGTTTGCACTTATTTATCTCACAGTGTTCACTAAATATTTGCCATTTTGTTTTATTTCATATAAATACTGCCAGAGGAATCATTCACACTACCTATTAGGAGCCATTATGGACTCCATTAAATGTGAGTGCATTTCCATTTATTTAGTGTGTCATCTCAACATACTACACTATATAGGTGTCTATTCTGTAGATATTTCTGGACCAAGAGACACACTACACATTCTTAAACAGGGATTATACCCCTGAGGCGAACAGAGGTAGAGCTAATTTATAGCTCCTGAAATTGTAAGTGCATCTCTTTTCTTAAATCTCATTATATATAAAACCCTATACTATATACTTCTCCATTGTCCCTTGTCCCTTCCTCTCATTTCATATTTAAAACACCTGAGGACATTCCTAGTCGCTATCCTCATTTTTCCTTGGTGGGACTATGCAAATTAGTTTAACAAAGAATCAAATTTTTGCCTCTTTATTCCATTTTAAATATGGATACCTTGGAGTTTATGTTTGCTATTTACAACAGATTTAAAACACAACTCAGGAAGAGATGCAAGGCACACAAATAAACGAATTGTCCAAATTACCCCAATCTAGAGTAGGGTCCACTCTCACTGCAATCCAATAGAATGAGGACTGGGCACAAAACTGGATAAAATCCGGGGTAGATTTATTGAAGCAGATTAGGAAACATTTCAGCTCAGAAGAGCCTTTCGCAGGCTGACATATACACATAATAAAAGCCATATTTCTAATGAATAATAATTACTTACAATGCATTTATCCGCTGTATTTAGAATTGTGCAGAGTTTACTATTGCACATAACTGAGGTAAATACTGTACATTTTATACTGAATTGTTTGATAAAATATATTCTATATTTATACAGTTTGATGTGGTGATTTTTGGACAGGTATTTTTCAGGAACTCATAATGTCCAGAGAGACAAGGAGTAGTACCTCAGAGCCAGTGCCTTTCCTGGAAGAATGGAAGGCCCGACGTGAGAGAATGAGGCTACGTTCCTCTTCTTCTAGCATCTCGGTGAATAGGTCAATAGACAGCAGCCAGTCTCACCAAGAGGGGGATCCCCAGGCACGCAATAATACCTTGCTTGACAAGCAAGAAAAGAGCCGAGATCTTGCTGGGGGAAGGTCAACAGAAACCACCACAAAACTACAGTTTCATGGTGAAGCAGAGCCTGACACAAGTGAATCATCAGCCTTAAAAACCAAAGAAAAGAAAGGCAGTACTCAGAAAAAACACCGGACTCAGATTGAGAAGAGGAAACTAAGAGAAAAACGAAGACCAACAGGGGTAGCCAATATATCGCCCTTAGAGGTGAGTTGAATCATATTTTAGAGTTCATGGATTGAAGTTATATTAAAATATTTTGGCTATGGTAGCATAGTTGGGTTGGAAAAATTGTTGAGAATTGTTGGACCATTTTCCCAAGTCATCTGTTTTGGCCTACATTTTTCTATTTGCCAACAATGTCATTTTAATTTTGTAATGTTTTACAAAGCAAAACAAAGAGAAGAGGATACATATCAGATTGCTTCCTGATTTTTGTTTACATTAAGGATTTTAAGCCGTCATTGAGGGAGATTCTCTTTAATATGTTTTATAATTAGTTTTAATAAACAAAGGCCCTCTTCTGTCCATAGGATCCAGATGAGAATCAAGATCATGCTGATACGAAAGAAGGAAACAGAGAAAAAGACACCACCCCCGATCAGGTAAGAAGATACATGACCACAAGTGATAAGAACCTATTAAGTCTTTCTATTTTCTAATATTTTTAAACATTTACAGACTTCTGCAAGAGAGTAGCATGCACAAGTACAGCTATAGATATCTGAGCCTTCCTACCCTGGGTTTAATAACGTTACCCCTCTGATAGGAATCTGTGTGCATTGCAATCATCGTATACCGCCAAATGGCCAAACCCCAGAATTGGTCAAATAGTGGGTTTTTTTACTGAAAAATCCTAAAATATACTTTATGCCCTTCAAGCAGCCTTTAATGTCTCTACGATGATTGGTTACCCCTCACCACGTGTTACTGCCGTCATTCTCTCATATATGTGTAATTATGTTTAGTATCTTATTTTATTTAGATGTTATCTGTTATTTTGTAGGATCAAAGAACAACCCAAGTCACTTGCCCAAACAGGTAGGAAATGTCCATCAGTCAAGAATTAATTCACTGCCATCCTACAAATTTATTTCCAGTGTTTTATTCAATTGTCTCCTAACTATAGATAATGATGTGTAATATTTAGTAGATTTGTGATGTATTTAGGTTTTTGGGTTTGTTGTACAGAACACATGTTAACTTTTGGGCAGGATTGTCCAGGGTCAGCAACTGCATCATTTGTTGGGGTACTGGATTTGCGGAACACAGAAGGAATTCACTGAGAATTGATGAACTGTGCATGCACATGGCTACTTATGGTCAATACCTTCCTGTGTGCACTATACAGCAAGGAGCACCTACCCAGTGATCGACCCATGTGCAATGCTGGTGATCTGGAATCATAATAAATGCCAGCACTGGTGCACAGGTATTCCACACTGACATGGACTCTTTTTGCCCCTCATTGCCAATTGCTGCAGCATGTGACGTGGAGAATAATGTTCCAAAAGCCAAGTGGTTGGCAATAAAATTACTGAGGATTTATAACACATTCATCTAAGCAGATCAACGTATAGAACCCGTAGGAACCTTAATCTAACGCTTTATTTGTATTTTCTCAAAAATATATCCAGTATCAACAGATAATCCTTAGTACTCGTAAATTAAAAATACTAATAAGAGCAGCCCTCAGTTATCTTTATTAGTACAATATATCCATAGAACATACACAAAATTATCTTCTAAAAAACACCAAATAATAGACACACATCAATGTAAATGATCTCGACTGCAATAAAGAAGCAAAGTATCAATTAAACCCACATAGATCCTACGTTTTACCTGTAAGTATGCAGAGATAATGGAGACCATAGACCCAACATTTTGGCGTTATTCCTTTTTTCAATGGGATCTAGAACTTGGACTGTGTTGATAAAGGGGATAACCCGAAGCGTTTGTACCTTATGTCCTTAAAAATAAATCTTTTTGTAGCACTTGGTGTGCCCATTTGCAATTGCTTGCGCTGCCCTCCTTTTTTCTATTTTTGTGGATTACTTTACTCTGCTTGGAGCTGCAGAGGGTGGTGTCAGCAGAACGATAGGAAAAGTTTGTACTTTGATTTTCTCTGGGGACTGCAGTAACCCTTACCTCAGCTATATACTGGTCAGAACTTGGACTGATGGAGAATAAACAAACCGTCATACTTTGCAAAGCGTGGTTCTCCATGATAGGACTACTAATTCACAGCAGCCCTGGTCCCAAATAAAGTCTCTCTTCACTCTCAAAACTCTAGATCTTTGTTTTAGATTTTCTTTCTTAACTTTGGATCAAGGAAATAATAATGGCAAAGTTGTAATAGTTTCACATAACATTTATCATCAGAGATAACTTGGCAAGGTTCTGACCTGTAAGAATTGACAAAGACTCTTTTGGGTGGAAATATTGCCAGTCCTCTCTTGTGATGGGGGAATGCACATGATGTGAAATGTTTCATGGTGTCTGTTTGGGGAGATAAACCGTAATACAGGTATTCACCATTGTGAGTCAGTTGTGGAGGAGTCATCAATGGTCTATTGAGTAATAATAGAATTACAGCAATTTGTGTCAATTTGTTTCTGGGGTAGACCTATAAAATTATAATCTGACATTTTTAAGTGAATAAAAAGCTATTTGGTCAAAAAATGGGAAACATACACAGGGGACTGGAAGGTAGGGACAGGGAAAAATACCCTGCCTCTCTCCCTTCCCCTGGGTAAATATGGTCACCTAAACTGGGTAATAGGGGATAACCCAAGAAATAGTAAATTATAGAAAAAACTTTCAAAAAAAGCTGCCTTACTAGAATGCAGCCAATAAGAAAGGAACCCAGTCCAATCTCAAAAGAAAGTATAAATAGTACCAAAAAATAATAAAACTTTATTAGAATATAATAAAAAAAAACAAAAAACCAAAGACTACAAAAGATGTCAAAGGTCTATTACTAGAAAAGGTATAGTATATAGATAAACCTCATTAGTTGCCAGAAAAAAGAGGCAGTGAACTAAACTGGTATTAAGTATACCTTAGGAAATAGCAGCATAGAAGACCTAAATAGGAAAGTGAGGATACATATGTGGTATATGGTATATGGAGACCCAAAAGGAAGGGGTAAGGAAAATGCCCCAATTGTAACATAAAGGGAACCAGTAAAATACCAATACCCAAAATCAAAACGCCCCCCTTCCTAAGTCAAAAAGACAAATCCTACTATTGAACAATCATTCTAAGCTAATCGCTATCTCCTAAATAACACCTTCGTGGGTGTTCTGATCTAATAACTAAACCTAGACATCTGTAGTCGAAATAGTATTGTGCCCAGTGCTCATAATACCCCTGCAATACCCCTGAGGACGGCGTGTAGTTCGCTGAAACGCGTGTTGGGTTTCTTCTGTTTTGCACTTATGAGCACTGGGCACAATACTATTTCGACTACAGATGTCTAGGTTTAGTTATTAGATCAGAACACCCACGAAGGTGTTATTTAGGAGATAGCGATTAGCTTAGAATGATTGTTCAATAGTAGGATTTGTCTTTTTGACTTAGGAAGGGGGGCGTTTTGATTTTGGGTATTGGTATTTTACTGGTTCCCTTTATGTTACAATTGGGGCATTTTCCTTACCCCTTCCTTTTGGGTCTCCATATACCATATACCACATATGTATCCTCACTTTCCTATTTAGGTCTTCTATGCTGCTATTTCCTAAGGTATACTTAATACCAGTTTAGTTCACTGCCTCTTTTTTCTGGCAACTAATGAGGTTTATCTATATACTATACCTTTTCTAGTAATAGACCTTTGACATCTTTTGTAGTCTTTGGGTTTTTTTTTTTTTATTATATTCTAATAAAGTTTTATTATTTTTTGGTACTATTTATACTTTCTTTTGAGATTGGACTGGGTTCCTTTCTTATTGGCTGCATTCTAGTAAGGCAGCTTTTTTTGAAAGTTTTTTCTATAAAAAGCTATTTGGCTTTCTTTTTTTTACAAAAAAAAAATGAAAAACCTTCTTTTAAAAATATTTAGTTTTTTGAATACTATAAAATATCTTTAGGTTTTATTTGCAATGCCAATTATTCACATGACAATACAATCTAAAGAAAAAATTACTTTCGAGAAAATGTTTCCAAGTTTGACCATTTTTGCTTAGAATTTGCAGCTTCCTTTTCAATGATCCACAGTTCTCGGTTTAGTGTATGAAGCTCTTACTGTATGATGCTAGCTTGGTTTTTTTTTATTTGACTGAGAACTGCTGATATCCTCTTACTCAACTGATGAAACATTTACCTGGGCAGTACAAATGGTAATAGTGTCGCCCCCCTGACAATACCACAGTTATTTCACCTGGCAATGCTTTGGCCAATAACTTGTGACACAGCTTATCTTGTAGGACAGATACAGCCATCAACGTTCCATCACAGGAAGAGAGAGAGAGCGCCAACATGTCAAGACAGAGCTGGATGGAGGAGTTGCAGAAGGTATGGATTTTAGTAAAAATTCAGGGTTGTTTTGGTGTTTTGCTCCAACATGTGTGTGATTGTAGAGATGTATTTGAATAGTGGCTTAGTGACTAAGTCCACTTGCAATGCTGGTGTTCTGTTTCCATTAACAGGCAGTCATTGTAAAGAGACAAGACAACCACAAATTGAATGCTGAATTGAGTGACAAAGATGGAGCCCTGCAGTTGCTTCAAAAGGAAATGAAGACTGTGACGCAAGTAAGACAGCAATGGACGGAGGGTAGATTGTGGGTAACTACAATGGCAATACCAGGTCTTGTATTTGGAAAACTGGTTGTTTCCTTAAATGGAGTTTCAAGTTTGAATGTGTTTCCAAACTAGACATTCCCCAATTTTAATGTGTGTTTATTAATTTTTTTTTAAATTTCATCCATTTCATCACTTTTCTCACACAACACCACTCATGATGAGTGAGAATGGAGCGGGGTCTAGGTATTTAGATTTATTTATTATTGCCATTTATATAACGCCAACAGGTTCCGTAGCGCTTTACAATATTATGGAAGGGGGGATGTATCTATAAATAGGACAATTACAAGAAAACTTACAGGAACGATAGGTTGCAGAGGACCCTGCTCAAACGAGCTTACATTCTATAGGAGGTGGGGTATAAAACACATTAGGACACATTAGATGATCTATATCTTAGAGGTCCAGAGGAACACTCCTAGATGGATGTAAAGTTTTGCTCACTGTCACTGTGCATGTTATTATTGTTCAATTGCATTAGCTAAGTCTCCAGTGCCTGCGGTGGAAGAGCCCACATGTAGATATCTTCCTGCACACTCACAAAAAACTTTTCTAGCCTACATCTTGTTAGCCATGGTGTTAGGGCACTGGTATTCTACCAGCTGCCTTCATAATTGTTCATCACAGATGCTCCAATTTATTTCATTCTTTGATTTATTGACATACAGGCATGTCACGTTAGGCACAAAATGCATTAGGAACATACAATACAAAAGAGAGAAAGGACTGCGCCAGATATGATAAAAACCTTAAAAAAGACAATAACTTATACCAATAGGTAAACAACAGCAGAGGAGGAGTAAAGGCTGTACACACGTACAGTAAAAAGAGATATAACACTCTCCAGAGTCTAGACAAATTATCCAAAAAATTGTCCAAATAAGAGGATCTTATTGGGATGTTATGTCCTCAATGACTTGTAGTCCAAACGTTCCACTCATATGGAAAAATAAAAGTCAGGGACAACCAATAGTGTGATATGTCCAATCTGAAGGAGTCACAAAAAAAAGATACATACACAGATTATACAGGATAGGTACACTGCATTCTTCTTTTACGCCACATGATGTCGCTGTTTATATCAAGTGCATTCCAAGTATAAGATGCAACAATCATTTTCATCACTGCGGTGGCTGTATAATCATTTACCAGTTGGTTACATTGTGTCTGGACAATGGAAGCTTGCAAGCAAAAAATTGGCCAGCTCCATCTGATAACCATATGTTTTCAAAGCATACTTAAAGAGTTAAGAGATATCGATTTAACATAAATGTAATCCTTCATTTTTATGTACAATTTTAGGCAGGGTAACAAAACGTCATCTACATAAATACAAGCCAAAAATGATTACATTAAAGGAAACTCCAGTCCCCTAAAGCAGTCCAATTTCCCTGCAGAATAATTTTATAAAAATTCTAAGTAGCGGTTATTGTGCAAGAAGTGCCTAGCTACCCCTTCCTCCCCAGTGTACTAAGTCAAATCGTTTACTAAAAGATTGACTTCTTACCGGGGGTCTGACGGTCACTGCCTCTATGGAGGGCTCCTGCATGGAGCTTCCGTTATCTCTCATGACCTAATGACTGCCATCTCTCTGCTTTTAGCCAATATCTAAGCCCTGTAGCCAGTGGTGTATCCTGGTTTTGTGCTGCCCTAGGCAGGACAAAACTCAGGCGCCCCCCTTCACCCGCGCCACCCCCACCCAACCCTTCCCCCCGCCCCACCTTCTAAATACACACACACACAGTCAGACACAAACACAAACACACACACACAGTCAGACACACACACACACAGTCAGACACATACACAGAAAAACACAGTCAGACACAAACACACACACAGTCAGAGACACACACAGTCAGACACACACACACAGTCAGACACACACACACACACACACACACACACAGTCAGACACACACACACAGACACAAACACACACACTCACAAACACACAAACACAGACACAAACACACACAGTCAGACACACACACACACACACACACACACACACAGTCAGACACACACACAGTCAGACACACACACAGTCAGACACAAACACACACACATACACAGTCAGACACACACACAGTCAGACACACACTCACAAACACAGACACAAACACACACAGTCAGACACACACACAGTCAGACACACACACACACAGTCAGACACATACACAGACACACAGTCAGACACATACACAGACACACAGTCAGACACATACACAGACACAGTCACACACACAGTCAGACACAAACACACACACACACTCACAAACACAGTCAGACACACACACAAATTAACTTTTTTTTTTAAATTTAAATCCCCCCCCCAACCTCCTTACCTTTGGGAGTGCTGGGGGGGTGGGAGGAGGTCTCTCTCCCTGGTGGTCCAGTGGCTGCAGCTCGGGCGGGCGGCGCTGGCAGGCGGGCGGCTGGCGAGGGAGCACTTCCTATGAGCTGTCAGCTCAGCTCCCTCGCGCGCCGGCTGCAGAGTGAGGCCGGGAGCCGGGATATGACGTCATCTTCCGGCTCCCAGCCTCACTCTGCGGTGCGCGAGGGAGCTGAGCAGAGAGCTCATAGGAAGTGCTCCCTCGCCAGCCCCCCGCCTGCCAGCGCCGCCCGCCCGCTCGGGATGTCAGTTAGCGGCAAGGCTAACTAGGCATTTGCCCTGGGCATTTGGGGGGTGGCGTTTTCTGCCGCCCCCTGAAAAATGCCGCCCAAGGCAAATGCCTTGTTTGCCTCGCGGCTAATATGCCCCTGCCTGTACCACTGGGTTTAACTTAATGCAGAGTTTCCAGCTTTCACGGAGGATGTGACCGGAGCTCAGCAAACCCCAGCTATGATGTCAAACTATTAGCAAACAATTTGACTACTAACATTGGGTTAATTCCAGGGCCCTACTGGGAGAATGGGCAGTCTGCAGATAGCTAGGGATCCTCTTCAAGTATGGATATATCTGCCTACTCTGTGCTCCAGGGAAGTAAAAACCCTTTGCAAAGTTACAAAGTTACAAAGGTGCCTGAGGCTCACAGGCCAAGTGATTGACCTCTCCTCACCAACAGGTCCCAAGACACTGCTAATAAAAAGTTCCCTCAATAATCGAGACTAAAGATCTTGTCAAGGGAGGAACACCAACCTAAATACTTTATTATAAACATGGACAAATAGCAAACAAGTATAACCAGTAAAAACATGGCAAAAAAACCTAATATTTCCAAAGTCATGTAGCTATAGGGGCCGGTGGCTGAACTACCACCAGTGCAGCTGATGCGGCTGCACCTGGGCCCACATGTTGTGGGGTGGGGGGAGCATTAGGTCACCCTAAGTGCATGGGCCACCCAATGGGTAATGCAGCACAGGGGCACAATTGGGGGCTCATGCAGAAGTGGTAACTTCTTTTTAATTATATCTGGGATTAGGGGTCGGACAGTGCGTGTCCGAGTTACTCAGGGAAATGCCAAACATTTTGAAAACGGTTTTCCTTTTAATAGTGGAATGGCTCCAGGAAATCCTGGCACCATAACTATTACAGGCTGTTGCAGTGATTATGGTGCTTTAAAATCTTGCGTGAACGCAATATGAATGGGTCATGTGAAATTACGTTATGTCATGTTTGGGTTAATGTGCTAGATGGTTTGAATAAAAAGAAGAGATTTAAGATAACTCTTGGAATCACACATAACTAAACTGGATAGGAGTGTGGTTATTCAAATGTAATCTCTGCTATTGTTTCTGGAAAGTCTGTTCTGGTAGTTTTCTATCTGAGATTCACAGGTATGGATATAAAGGAGCACTATAGTGTTTGAAAAACAAAGCTGTATTGCAAACACTATAGCAGCCCTCTGCCCCCCTCCCTCACGATACCCCCTGGTGGTGTAAAGGGTGAAGTAACCCTTTAATCACTTAACTGGTTCCAGCCCCGATGTCCCTCTGGTCATGCTACTCTTCTTTCACCTTCAGCCGATGGGGGGACCGAATGTGCATGCGCGATGAGTGCCGCATGCACATTAGGTCTTCCCCATAGGAAAGCATTAACTCAATGCTTTCCTATGAGGTTTTTCTTTTTTTCTTTTTTTTTAATAATAAATCTTTATTAAGATGTTTTTTTCATGTGTTTGCTAATATGTGTTAATGAAATGCACCAGTCCTCCTCAGAAATCTCGATTTCTAACTCTTGTTCCCATGTCTTGATGAGTTTATGGGGAATAATAGGAGATCTACCAAACAGTTTGCGGCCGAAGTGACCTTGTTTAGGGACCTATAATTAAAAATATGTTCTAAATGCATAGCAAGAGGAGAAGAGCTATTTATAACATTCTTATCAATATAATTTTTAATTCGGAGATAGGTAAAAATTTCCCTAGATGGTATATGAAAAGTATCAACAATCTGTTAGAAAGGCATTAAATTATAGCCCAACATAAAATCGTAAATCCTTAGTTTATCAGTATCTGCCCAGTGGCTCAAAAGAAGGTCATCAATATTTATCTCTAATATCTTAAGTCTACACGACCTAGGTATTAATTGCCGAAAGCCCAAAGTTTTTTTAATTTCCTCCCAGACTTCTAAAGATTGTGCTAAAAGAGTAGAATTCATTCAAAATATATTTCTTTTGTTCCTACTAGTAGTCCACATAAGATATTGTAAATTTGAGATATGGGAGGCTTCGGACTCTATAATAAACAATGGTTCTTGGGCCAACGAGGGATCTTGTAAAAGGTGTATATGTCTAATCATATTGGCATAATAACTATAGATAATATTTGGAAAGTTTAAGCCTCCCTTCGATATTTTTTTTGATAAGATTTTTTGACTAATTCTGGGAATTTTATTTTTCCAAATGAACTTTGAAAAACTTGTTTGTATCATCAGCCATGATTTTGAAATTTTGAGCGGAATCATAGAGAAAAGATACGACCACATTAGTAGTATATATGAATTAATAATGTTTATTTTACCCAACCAAGAGGTTTCCAAATTTTTCCATTTTTAAAAATTCAAGTTTGTATTTTTCATTAGATTTAATATATTCCTCTCCATTGTAGTATTAACATCTGCAGGGATAA